GGTGGCTGTGTTCTCGCTATGTCCTCATATGGCAGATAGAGAACCAACAAGCTCTCTGACATCCAGTCTTATAAAGGCAGTAATCACATCACAAGAGTCCCACCCTCATAATGTCATCTAACCCCAATTACATACCAAGACCTCATCTCCAAATATCATCATCATATCGAGGGTTAGGACTTAAACACATCAGTTTTGAGAGAGACATGAACATTCAGTTCCCAATAGAGATCTTAGACACATAAAGAGCTTCCCTATTCTTTTTTACAACTGTGGCATCAAATATACTTAATGTCAAAACTGGGAAAACTGAAGCTGTCCTTAATCATGTTTTTGTTAATAGGATCTGTAGAAATAAAGTAAGAGAGCTAGAGTCCTAAAAACTGAAAGGTGATGTTTCTGATGAGGTGAGACATAAACTGGAATTATATTCTGATGACTGGTGAAAAAGTATTAAAACTCAGACAACATGTTCTGTGTATATTCATTAGCATGTCTTTAGATCCTCACAATTTCAGCTTTCTGAATCAAATACAGTTGAATTTGCTAATATGAAGATGCTGACTGTATTTGAAAATGCAAATTAATAAAGACATATAGCTATGAAATGTATTTTTGTCATGCCACTACTTATAAACAATAGTCAACTTGCACCCAGCTGTTACTTACCAGGCACGTTATACAGCCCATTCTGGCCATTCTAAATATGTTCAGTGGAAGTTCTGAGAAAGGTATTAGCATAGAAGATTTAACGCTCTTTGTGAATAAAGTTAAAATGGTTATTCAGCCCAGAAAAGGGAAAGAACTAAGGAATGAAGAAGAGAAAAAGAGTATGACCACAAAATGCATTTGGACAACCCCACTGAAAGCAAAAATAATAGTCTATGTGCTATTCCAGCAGCCTGAACTATCACTACCTGAAGGAAGAGAAGGCAGAGACAGAGTAAATGTCTGCAAAATATGGTTGAAATTAGATTCAGGGATAAGAGGGAGGGAAACATCAATCACGGAACTAGGGTCACCAACTTACCTAGGTGACTTGGTAAAAGAGTAACACTGCTGGCTGAGACATTTGGAATGGGATAAGAAGAATGATAGCGACCACTCACATTTAGAGGTAGAAAAGAAAAGTTGGGCATTGAAGGAAAAAGGAATGGTTAAAGGGAGAGGAGGCAAATCAAGGTAAGGAGGTTACAGAAACCAAGGAAGGAGGATGTAGTTAACTTTGTCAAATATTGGAAGATAAAGTTATGAACCCCCGAAATAGCATTTTAGAAGACAGTCAGATTTTAAGACATTAGGTAATGAGTTGAACAGTGATATAGTAAAATCAAAACTACTTTATATTAACGGTTTTTTGAAATGATCATGGAGGGAAGAAGAAAGACAGGATTATGATATTATTCCGTATTTATTTTCCACTTCAGAATAACAGAGCACTTTCCCATACATGATCTCATTTGATACTATTTCAATAGGTGGGCCTGTGGTGGATAAGTGAAGAAAGGTGCAATTAAGAAAGATAGTTGAAGATGCAGATAGAAGATGAAGTAATGAATGAAATTAGTTTTCTAAGGAGATGGAAGAGGGAAGAATTTAGAGCTGAAAAAGGCTAGGAATACCTCTAATTTTGAGAAACAAAAGAAGAAAAAGTGAATTCAGGAAAAGATAGGAACATTTTGAGGTAAAAATAGTTTAGAAAGATTCATGACTAAAAGGCATGAAAGTTATCAAGGTAACCTTGAATTGAGGGCTGAACTGACAGGAGAAATGTGAAATGAGTGGGAAATAATGGTGTTGGCATAAAAAGTCAAAACACTGACTCTTCACCCAGTCACAAGCTCTCCATATCTCTAATTCAGTATAGTAGTTCTCCCACTAATGTAATGATGAGTGGTCACTGAACCACTGGAGGCAAGGGCAAACAGTTCGATGTCTTAAATAAACCCAGCAAAGCCATTAAGAAAAGTTCATTCACTATACAATCCAATTTATAAGTCTGCTTTGAGTATCACTCCCCCAAGCCCGTGCTACAAGAAGGAAAAGCATTATCTGTTAGAAAAATGCTTTCTACCAGGACAAGACATCCTGTAATTTTTCAACCAACAGGGATGTTAGTCTGTGGTCTAGCCTCAAGTCACTTTCTTTAGAAAGTTTTGCTTTCTCTAAGATAATGCCCAAATGTTTATAACTTCCTTCTTTAAATAGTATGCATATTAAGAAATAAATTTAAGTCTGTAGTCTATGAGATAACACAATTGGGGGACAAAAGTATGACAGGCCTCCCTTCCTGGCTGGGCCATCCTGTGACATGTTCACTCAGGGCTCATGGCATCTCAGCCATACATTCTGAGATTCTGGCCTCTTGGCTCTTTGAACCATGTCTACCATTAAAATATTAATTTCTCACCGGGCATGGTGGCTCACACCTGTAATCCCAGCACTTTGGGAGGCTGAGGTGGGCAGATCACCTGAGGTTCAGAGTTTGAAACCAGCATGACAAATATGGTGAAACCCTGTGTCTAATAAATAGATAAATAAATAAAAAAAATATTAATTTCTCTATTATATCTCATTGAAGGTAAAGGTTATGATTTTTGCTTGCCCAATACACTTCCCTCTATTTTAATGACAATGGTAACATGTTCTTTCTTTCCTTTTTTTTTTTTTTTTTTGATAGCCGTGCTCTGTTGCCCAGGCTGGAGTGCAGTGGTGCAATCTCCACTCACTGCAACTTCTGCCTCCCAGGCTCAAGCAATCCTCCCACCTCAGCCTCCCAAGCAGCTGGGAGTACAGGTGTGTACTATCATGCCCAGCTAGTTTTTTGTGTATTTCTGTAGAGAAGAGGTTTCACCATGTTGCCCAGGCTAGTCTCAAACTCATAACATGTGGTGTGCTCTTAACTGGATCAATTCTATTACCCTGTCTTCCTGGCTTAGTGATTGGTTTAGGGAAGAGTATGTGACCCAAACTGATTCAATGCAAATGATTCTTAGGATTGTTTTCAAACTGTAGACAAAGACAAAGAAATCCTCTTTCTTTGCTGGTGGAACTGCTGTTAGGATGAGATGTGTGATTATAGTTGCTAGGAATCATGTTCCCCATGGCACAAAGAAAGCTCATCTGCAAAGAGAACTGGAAACATATTTCAGAAATAGAGAGGATAAGCCCTAAAACTATACTTGCTACTCAGTCCAGATATCCACAGGATCAGCTGTCCCCATTCTATGTTTGGGTGACATCAGCCAGCAAAGTCTCCTTTTTGTGTGATCACGTTGGAATTCTGTCATTTGCAAAGTAGCCCAACATGTGCACAGAATGTCTTATACTTTTAAGGTGCCCAATAAACATATATTGGTTATCTGGTTGGTTTGATGTCAGTGTTTTTTACTGTATCTTTTGCTTCAATACTTTGCACTCTATAACTTCATTCTCAATAAGGTTTGTTCAAAACAAAGTCTGCAGTTTGCCTGTAATAACTAGGTACCCTAACCCCCTATACTGGCATGATGAATATGTCTGTGTTTCAGTTTCCTAACTTATAAAATATGGCAAATAATAATAGCAGCTACTTATTTAGCATCTGCTAAATTCCAGGTGCTGGTCTAATACTTAACATACATTATCCTAATTCTTATGGCAACTTTATGAGACATGCATAATGATCCTCATTTTATGGTAGAGGAAGCTGAGAGGCAAATGAGGTTAAATGAAGTGACCAAAGTAATACAGCTTGATTGGCAGAATTCAGATTCATACCCAGGCTTGTTTGAGTCTGTGTTCTTTTGAATGTTCTATGTATGATGTCCTACTTCTTCAAAAAGCTTTTTTGTGTGTAATAAGATAATGCAGGTAAAATTGCTCTAAAAATAGAAAATGTTTAGAAATCATTCTCTAATTGACAACCAAAAAACACAAAAATGGGCTCAAATGTTAAGAAGGAGAGATTTAGGTTAAGGGGAACATTGTGACTACCCAAATTATGGCATTAGAAACAGTAATTGAAAAAAATAAATGCTGAATTTCATATAAATGTGAAATTTTATGAAGAGGGAAAGTGCAGCCAGGATTCTGTTGCGTTTCTTAAACCTTGAGAAAACTTGGAAGGACACAGGTAAGTCAGAATTGCTAAGCTAGGGAGAACCAGATCTCACTTCTCATTTTCCTCATTGGACCATTGATACCAGCATGTGGAATTCCTTTGTGGTCCTGTTGATGGACAGTACTTATAAAATAATGAACATTCTGACTTACAGATCTGGATGGCAATATCAGTAATGTTTAAAATGAACAAACATATGTACTTATGCTGTCCACATAGCATGAAAATATATATAAACCTAATTTTTGTGTAAGTTTAACTGAAAGAAACATAAGGCCAAATCAATGTGTTAAATGACATTTTGTAGTAAAATCCTTGTGTTTTTCAGCTTGTAATTACCATTTTAAACAATTTCAAGGGAACCAACCACAGTATGAACTGTCTGTTTTATGTCCATTTTCTTCATTAGACTGTGAGTGCTCTGGGTACAGAAACTGTGCCCCACATATCTTCTTACCCCTAGAATCTAGCACAGATAAAACTTGGCATATGTCATGCAGGGTTGTGCTATCACTTTTATGGGTCCTAGAAACTTTTGCCTTCATGGGCCCCTTCCTCCATTAAAAAATACTTAAAATTATATTTTATGATTATGCTGGTATGAAAATGAATATATTAGTATTATACATAAATACTTTCTTTGACTTTTTTCTTCTGATTTTAAAAGATTGTTTTCAGAGGCGTCTAAAGGTATTGTGGACCCCAGGTCCTGTGCCTACCTTACTTAGGGATAAGTCAGTCAAGTCCTACGTGTTAAACATATTTTTGTTGACTGAATGAAATGAATAAATGACTTAAAGTTAACTTGGTGGTAGTGATTCTTAGAGCTTCTATTTTGGAGTAACTTTCAGCTTAAAAAATGTTTCAAAAGCAACTAATTAATAAAATCACCACGACATACTAATATTCATTTAATCTGAAGCCAACTATGGAAATTCAGTACTGTAAACAAAATTAAAACCCAAGGGCAGTGTAGAAGAAGTCTGTCAAAGTGGCAAAATAAATATTTTAAAATAATAATCAGAGGTTGCTGCAATATTGAACAAACATAGCACACCTCTTAAATAGAGAAATTTAAATATTTTCTTTTTAAAATTCTGACATTCCAAAAGAGTCAGTTCAGAAGGTAGATACTTTAAAAAACATGGGTTTATACTTGGAACCACATAGTTATTGACCAGAATTTAGTTAAGCATGTGCCTGGAACGCTAGACCTGCTGCCTTGAACAACATTGCTTTTGGAACTCAGCATCTCTCCACTGTTGCTTCCAGAGACAGCTTTTTAAAATGGAAAATTGATTGATGAAATCTTAGACATGAATAAATGCTAATGTATCTAATAAATTAAAATACTGTCATTTTATAAGAAAGGTTTATTGGCTAACTGTGCTATTTCTTCTAGTAATTTAAAGTCTAGTGTTTAATTTACAGAATGAAATGCAGAAATCAATTACTTGGTCAGTAGTAAGGTGAAATTGATGTTCAAGAGTATGTTTTGGGACGCAACCAGGCTGACTTATCCACTGACTTAAAATGTAGAACGTCATATCTGAGCAGTTTTCCCCCCTGCTTCTGAATGTATTGAACAATGCTCAAAATATGAGGAAGCATCTTTGCATTGTCTGGATGGGGTTGTGCACAGATTAATATCTGGATAATAATTCAGATTTACCCTTCCAAAAAAAAATCACACATATAAAGTAGTGCTAGTATTTATAGGATGGGCATTTACCAGAACAGCTCTTAAAGGCTATATAATAAAATTGCATTAAGGCTGCCTAAATTAATTAACCATAGATACTGAAATGAATTCAGCTAATGGATTCTGCTTCCCCAAAGAGTATTCTCTTTTAATAATAATTTTAAAAGCAAAAACATGTTTTTCCTCCTCTTTTTCATGATATGTAGCCACCTGACCAAGAGTGGGACTGGGAGGGAGACTGTCCCTACCACCCAGGAGAAAGCTAGAGGGAGAGGTCATCTAGTGATCATGCTCCTGCTTCTCCTCTCCAAGGGCAAAAGGCTGCCTCAGCAGCTGTCACATCCTGCTGCCATTTGAAACAGAAAACCAGTCTAGAGTTTCACACTTATCTCCAGCTTTGCATTACCAAATTGGCAGTCTTGCTACACCCTAGTAAATGCCTTTCATAGATAAATGTGGTGAAGGCTCTAGGGAATGGTGAATGGGGAGGGCATTTGTGTTTAGGAAGGGGCAGTACCTGGCTCAGCTGTCTGCCATCCACCAGATGTTTATGGAGATGAAACAAGCACAGAGGAGGAAGAGAATATACAAGGTCACTTGATCCATCTCATGCAGGCAGGCAGAATTATATCTTTGTGCACAGTCAACCATAGAGTCTTGTGAGGAGGATGCTAGTTATGCAAAGGCACATCATGAAGGACTTCAAAGATCTCCATTGTGGACTCACAAATCACAGTTACTCAACTCCCCTTCTAGTCAGACCAGCCCTGGTTTTCCCATATTTCTCATACAATGTCCTGCTTTGGCCATCTTACTGCTCATTAGCAGTTCCAGCAGAGGGCAGGAGGGGTAAAGGAGAAGAGTCGTATATTATAGCCGAAGATCTCTTCTGATCGTGTTAAGGCAAATTTTCTGGATTACTTACAGCAACAGATGTCTTTCTGTCCATTTTTTTTTTTAACTATCTGTCTGTATAGGTATTTCTAGTTTTCAGAGTCTCCTCTCTCAAGGAATTTAAAATCTGGCTCAGGAAAGCAAAATGAGGACCTATGAAATAATGAGAAAGCCATGCTATAAAGCCACGCTATAAAGCCACCCCTGTTATCCCAAGCAAAGTCATGGGTTTCAAGAGGAGGAAGAGAAGTCTTCATGCACTGAAGTTGGTGATAGCATTTGTACATTAAAAATATAAATTGAAGTCAATAATTAGTGCAGAGAAGTGAGACTCAGCAAATGGGCAGATTGTAATTGTTAAAAATTCTCTAAGCAGGCTTGGGTAACTGTCCCATGGACAGGACTTGTAAGCACCCAGTGAGAATGTGGTTTTTGTAGGGCAAAGGTCTCACTGGATCTCAGTACCAAGACTTTGCGGTGATCAGCTGGAGTGAAGGGGCTGGGACACTGAGGATTGGTTGGCATTCCGGGAGGAAAAATATTTAGTATCTTTCCATATCATTCATTAAGGCCTGTGTGACGATGTCATGAGTAATTCATTACTGGGAGGTCTTCATCAGATAAACAGGGCTGCAAAATTCATGGCCAAGGAATGCGGGCTAGAGAGACACTCCCAGCTACAGCTGCTACCTGAACACCCAGAGCTGGCTGGGAACCAAGGAGACATGCTGAAACCAGGAGCCTCAGCGACCAGTGGCAGCGTTACAGCCGCTTAATCCTGAAATGAAAAGTAATTGCTTCTGGCTTAAAGAATAAAGGAAAAACAAGATCAGCCTGGCTGGATTACATTTTTTTCAAATACAACCATGCTAACAACCAGATTCTTGCTTGGTATTTGAAAATGTGAGGAAATGGATGTTTTCTGTCAATGTAATTTAAATGTATCCAGGAGTATTGACATATAAGAACACTTGAATACAAGTATATTTTGATTAATATAATTAAATAAAATATGTTTACTTTTACTGTAAAGGAGGACATCTAAAATTTAACTTACCTAATATAAATTTAAAAGATATTTCTTAAAAATAGCTCTTGCTTTGTATTTTGAAGCATTTTCTGCTGAAAAGTGTTGACCAAAGCTACCAGAGCTCCTTTTCTGTACAGATGAAACTGCGAATGGAGAAATATGGAAGAAAAGAGAGGGGAAAGGCATTTCAATACTTTTAATATATTTCTGTGATGAAATTGTCTTCTCTAGAGAAAAAAGAGTTCATAAAAATTCATTAAGGAAGAGCTGCAAATTTAAGTTATTGTTAAAATAATAGAAAGATAACTTTAACCCACAACTGAGTAAGCAATATTTGTGTTGTTACTCATTTACCTCTCAAGACCTACAGGATGGCAAATGTCAGGAGATGTTCTGTATATTGAGTCTGTATTTTCCTTGAAAGCAAGAGAGCAATGACACAGAGTAAAAGCAAAGTAGAATAAGAGGAAAACAAATCTTGTTTTTACACTTCCAATGTTTAAATTATATGTACTCATTTAAGATATTTGTAGCAGACTCACAATGATGTACAGAGAATTAATTGAATCATATCTTGTATTCTAGAACTGAAGCTGCTTTGTTTCCTGTTAGGTTGAGTCATATGAAATTGTCTACACAAATAGCAATTTCACATGGTTTAACCTAATACCATAAACCCTCACAGGAATTCTTCAACCAATAATGAGCAGTAAGAAATAAAACCTAGTTTGTTTTCCTGCCATCATTCTACATGAACACTAATATTATAAAACAAATATAACACATACTATCTTCTTGCAGGTGTTAACATTGAGAATATTCTGCATAAAAGAACAAAGCCTATTTACAGACATTGCTCACAGTTTGTGCTTCTGCTTCATTAACTCAAAACAGAAAAAAATAATTCTTATACCAGAAATTTTTTGGATACTACCAGGATGACTTAACCTAACAGAACAGCACCATGACTCTGACAATTGTGTCTGCTTCTTGTGAGCTCAGGCTGATGAACAGTTGGAAGGCCAGCCACAGACCAGATAACCTGACACGCAGTGATCACAAACATGAGGACTTATTTAAATAAAAGGTGTCATATGGCACATGAGGTAAAGAAACAGTCATGAATGGCTCTAAGAATGTAAAAAAATGGCCATGAGTTGTACTGTCTGTTGGTATATAATACACAGCTGGTGAACCAAAAAGCCATGGTATTTCCAAAGGCGAGGGACTATGGTACTTAGTAACACTTTGCAGATTCAAAATAAAAGAAAAGAAAGCAGTCCTTTTTCACACCAGTGCTCTATCAATCTCTGCCAAGAAAGGGCACTAAATGTTAAATTGGCCCTGATTCTCTTTTTCACATTGAACATGATTCAGATGTTAACAAGGTTTCCATTATCATTACAGAAAGGTTTTAGATAATCTTTCTGTTCTTGCAAAATATAATAATGTTCAAAGGAAATACAGATTTAAAGTATAATGTGAACATATATTTTAACTGAGATATACAATGATTGCAAATATTTAAATGATTAGGAAGTATATATTTATGGTATGTTGAATGCAATTTTAGCTCAATCTCTATGATACCTGCAGATTTAAGGCAATCTGTTTTCTACAGAAAAAATGATTATAAAATGTAATATAATTATACTAATGCAAATTCTCAAGTCATAAATAATTAAGTCATCAATGACACATTTTCTTTAAACACCAGATGACCTCAAGAGAAGCTAAGTTCTTTCTTCCCCCAGAGATTTCAAGTAAAGAGTCATCCTTTACTACCTGCATTTTGCTTTCTGGTGATGGAACTAGAATTACTGACAATTAAAATATAATTATCAGCATCTCCCTGGGTGAACTAACTCCCTAGTGTCTTAAAACTTGCCTTCCAAAAGGAAATACATCTCTTCAAATTATACTTCATTAAACGTAAAGCTTAATGAGCCTTTAAAATACAGTCTTAAAGTGGTTTCATTCTCCCCATCCCTTTGCCAGTATTTCCCTTCCTCTCTAAGCATCTTTCCCTTCTCCTTCTCCAGGGTGAATTTTGAAAAGATTCTTTTCAAAATTTCAAAGAAGGATAGCCAACAACACTATAGCGCTGACTTCCCTCAAGGATTTCTTCATCCAACCCAGCAGGTGGGGCCTATAAAAGACCTCACATACAACATTTGAAAAATACAGTAATCAGATTAAACCTACGAAGTTTTCCAGAATTGCTCTAATATCAACCTTTATTTCACTTCTTTTAAAGACAATTGATCATTTAAAGCAAATATAATACAACTTCTTGTGGAGCTTTTAACTTATGTGTAAGTATGACAATAGCACAAAGAACACATTGCAAGACAGAAAATTTGCTTTTGTGTATTTTATATACTACACATGCAGTATGTGATATCACAGTAGATTCTGCTAAGCTAAGAATGCATATTTCAGTCCCTAGGTCACCCAAAATAAAATAACCACATACAGTTTTCGAGCCAATAGAGGAAATATTTAAAAATTATTGAGCTCCCTGTGGTGGCTCACGCCTATAATCCCAGCATTTTCGGAGGCTGAGGTGGGCAGATCATTTGAGGTCAGGAGTTCGAGACCAGCCTGGACAACATGGTGAAACCGCATCTCTATCAAAAAATACAAAAATTAGCTGGGGTTGGTGGCATGTGCCTATAGTCCCAGATACTTGGGAAGCTGAGGTGGGAGAATCACTTGAACCCAGGAGGTGGAGGTTGCAGGGAACAGAGATTGGGCCACTGCCTTCCAGCCTGGGCGACAGAGTGAGACCTTATCTCAAAAAATAAATAAATAAATAAATCTCAAATCCAAAAGAAGGAAGAAAAGGAGAAACAAAGGAAACAAAGGAACAACAACAAAAAAGAGACAAAACAAACAGAGGGGAGAAAACAAATAGCAAAATACTAGATGTAGCTTCAACATCAAAAATTTTATTAAGTGTAAGCAAACAAAACATTCCAATTAACAGGCAGATATTATCAAACTGAATTAAAAAAAGAAGAACCAATGCTATAGAGTTTATAAGAGAGATGCTTTATGTATAAAGTATAAATATAAACAGCAAGTTAGAAGTAAAAGGGATAAAAAAGAATCTATTTTTATTTCATTGATCTACTTGTCTATCTTTTTACTATACCACAATAACTTTATTATTCTATCTTGAATTTAACAAGATTCCTAGGTAATTCATATATACATTAAATTTAAGAACTAATAAGTAGATACCCTTTTGAGGTATTCAGCAATGATAAAAATAAACTTCCTTTTACTTTCTGGTAATGGAACTAGAATTACTGACAATTCAAATATACCAATTATTGCCAATTAGAGAGGAATATCAAGTATTGATTAAGCCACTTACCTAAGGCTACAAAAGTGGACCAGATCCCAGATTTCCTGAGTCCCAGACTATTGCCATGTCTACCAAAAACTCAGCTTCATAATTAAGTTTTACTCATTCAATAATAGTCAAGGAAAAAAGTAATTTCTATTTACCCACATATTTACCACTTCTAGCACTAGTCGTCATTTTTTAAAATGTTGATCTGAGTTTCTATCTGGTGTCATTTCCTTTAGCCTGAAGAACTTCCTTTAATATTTCTTACAGTATATGTGTACCATGGATACATCCAGTTTTTGCTTGGCAGTGTTTTTCTTCCCCTTCTTCTTCCCCTTTCTTTCCTTCCCTCCCTCCCTTCCTTCCTCCCTCCCTCCCTTCCTTCCTCCCTCCCTCCCTTCCTGTCTTCCTTCCTCTCCTTCCTTTCCTTCCTTTTCCTTCCTGTCTCCCTTCTCCCCTCTCCTCCCCTCCTCTCTCCTTCCCTTCTCTTCCCATATTCTCTTTTTTCTTTCATTTTTAAGGGATCTTTATCTTTCACTAAGTTTCTCATTCCAGGTTGACAGGTTTTCTTTCTTTTAGCACCTTAAACGTGTTATTCAATTGTCTTTTGGTCTACTGATAAGTCAGCATTGTTGTTCCCCTGGATCTTGTGTAGAAAGGGTCTTTTTCTCATACTGCTATTAAGACTTTTCTCTTTGATCCTTGGCTTTCATAAATTTGGTTATAATGTGCCCAGGAGTGGTTTTCTTTTTTTTTTATCCTGCATGGGGTTTATTCAGATTCTTAGTTTATGGGTTAATATTTTTCACCAAATTGGGAATTTTTTCAGCTATCACTTCTTCAAATATATTTTCTGCCCCAATTTCTCTTTCATCTTTTTCTGGAACTCCAGTTTCACAAATGTTAGGCCACCTCATACTATTCCACAAGTGAGTGAAGCTCTGTTCATTTTTTTCAGTGCTTTTTTTACTATGTGCTTCAGCTCAGAGTTTATACTGCCCTGTCTTCAGTGTCACTATTTTTTTTTTTCTTCTATGGACTCCATTTTGCTGTGAAGCCCATTTTTTTTTTTTTTCATTTTAGGTATTACATTTTTCAATTCTACAATTTCTAGCTTCTTTTCTTTTATAATTTCCATTTTTCTGGTGAGAATTTCTCTCTATTGATTGGAGTCCATATTTTCTTTAAAATTTTAAACATATTTATAAGAACTGTTTTAAAGCCTTTGCTTGCTAATGTTAACAGATCTGCCATCTCTGAGTATGTTTCTTTTGACTTAAAAAAATCTACTGTTGTCATGCCTCTTCACATATCTAGTAATTTTTAAATTGTATGCTAGATATGAAATGCTACATTATCAGGTCTGGATTTAAAGAGTGTTTAGTTCTGTTATGTTAATTTACGAGTGGATACGCTTAATTTTTAGGAACCTGTTTTTAAGCTTTCTTTGGATGAATTTAGAATAGCCTTGAGTCCAGGGCTAGAGCAGCCCTGCTCCTCCTGCCTGGCCTTTCTGGGGTCTTCACTGAAAACCCGGGGAATCACTGAGAACATCTCCACTCAGAACATCTACATCTCCAGTTTTGTGCACCTTCTAGAATCTCCATCCAGCTTACAGCTCCCCAGTAGTTGTTTTCCACCAGACTTCGTAGAGTCTTACCCTGAAAGTGAGAAGCTTAGCATTCGACCAAAGACTTTACAGTACCCATATGCAGATTTCTGGACCTGTTTCTCTGTGCAGCTTTCTCTTCATTACCTTGACCTATAAATTTCAACCACCTCAGC